TTATTCGCATCCAAATAATGCTCCACCGAAAACTAGCGAAACCAGCGTCGACCATCGTCCCCCATATTTTTTTTTTATGTATTTAGGTCACTTTTTTCATCGGAGGTAGCACCGTGTCGTGAGGTACGATGGGTAATTCCTCCCGCATGAATCACCTGCCTGGGCCCTCCTTTAAATAATACAAATGGGGTTGGCCTTCTTTGATATCCACTTGACCAATGATATTGTACGTTTTGATAGACCACACGGGGTCAGTGTCGACTATCACGCTAGTGTTCGCCGGCCTGGTATAAATGCCTCACGCTTACCCGGTCCGAAAGTTTCTGCTCTTTACCCCTGCCCTGTGCAGACGATTCGGTAGTTACTAGAGCGGAAAAATTCGTCAGGACTACCCAGATTAGTACTACATGAACTCCGGGAGGAAATAGAAAACGTCGAGGAGGAACAAGAAGAGACACGTCTGGATATTCGGAAGGTGGGGCAGATGCTAGAATCGGCCCTAAAGTGGACCTACATTTCCCTCGCCGCCCTGTTACTCTGGAAGGTCGTCCACAAGATCTGGAAGCACAGCACACCGGCCCACATACCGGTCGATAGACAGGCCCACAGACAGGCCTACAGACAGGACGACAAGAAGACAGCAACGGCCAAACCAGTTTGCATGGCCAAACCCAGGGACCCTTTCTACATGGCCTAGAAAAACATATGTCTGTATGCAATTGGAAATATAGATATAGACCTATATATTTTGCAGCATGCATATTGTATACAACAGGGGAATCCACCTCGCTTCCCATTCGAGGAATTCGATAAAGCAGAGACTGCATACTGGAATGAGATCCCCATGGAGTATTCTTCTGTGGAGGAAAAGATACAAGAAATGACCCGACCAGCTCGTATACTAGGCCACTTTGGCCAAGATACAGTAAAACGGTTTGCAAATCGAAGCAGAATGTATATCATTGGGTACACTGGTGGTATTCTATTCAATTTGTTTCTAGCTGTATCCCACAGTCTATCTTTGTTTTTGTGCAGTGTTATCGTTTTCGCATCGGGATATTTCGTGTAGCAACGCAGCGGACCTGCGGACTCGGTGCGACATGGAGTCTGGAAATTCTGCCGGAATGAGCATACCATGACACAAATACTGTGCCTTGCGGACGATCCGCCAGAACGAGACACCGATCCAGGCATTTTGATAGGTTTTCACATTGTTTTGCCGCTGGTTGCACGATGAACAAGTTTGCACCGGAAACCAAGTTTAGAGTTCGTTCCACCAAATCGTTTGCTATTTCTTCCGTTTTGTGTGGATGCGCATAGAGCAACACTTCGATGCGAGTGCAGCCTCTTGCTTGGACGTCCAGATGAAGGAAAGTCTTGCAAAGGTGCTCGTTCAGACAATCCGCCTAGTCCGCCAGGTGTCCACCGATTTGCTCTTGGACTGTGCCAGCTTCGAAATTGGACACGACCTTGTTGTAAAGCTTTGTGCGCGTTGTGTAGCCGTTCCAGGTTTCGACCCATGTACACACATGCTCTCCCACGCTGCTGGTGTTGTCTAGGATCGTCTGAACATCAGATTCCATGGCGGAGGAGAAGTCGCCTTCCTCTCGGAAGTCGTGGTGCAAGCAGAGAAATCCATCACGCCGGAGAAATCTCTCGTGTAGTCGATGGAATACAGACCATAGCCGTATGCTAGCAGGTTCTGTTCCAGTTTCGGAATCGCAACCTGCAGCACGTCGATCTGTATTTCGGAAACGTCTGTCTTCGCTACGAACATGTCGTAGATCTTCTCGCGGTGTAGTTTTTGCCACTGTTCCTTCGCTTCCTCTCCAGTTTCTCTTTCTATTCTCACGATGGTGTTTCGTATCGATCCGCAGTTGTCTTCTTGTCTTTCCACCGTGTGAAGGATGTTTGTTTGCATGTATATTTGTTTCGGCAAGGAATCTTGTACCGCGGTGGAAATTCCCAAAACCAGAAGTGGTGTGGAACCTTCTTTGCTGATCGTGCAAGAAACTCTGCCTTTCTTCCAAACACAGTTTTTGCAATGCAGATAGCCGAAAACGTTTAGGTGATCCATGAATGTGGGTAGTCCTTCCAAAGGTTGTAGCTCCGTTCTTCCAACTTGAAGATTGTCTGCCAGATAGTCGACTTTTGCAAAATCCGGTACGAGGTTGCTTTCCACGGTGTTTTCCAGTAGTAGGCACATTTTTTGTGATTTCGATTGCCATTCGTTGCAAATTTTTATACTACTTTTTGTAGTGCTATACTTTCGTACTACCATATCTCTAATTGGTTATCGAAAAAAAATACCATGTGTCCAAAGGTAGTACCAATCTTGGTAGTCCTGACGAATTTCTGCCCTAGTGAGGTATTTATACCGGGCCGGAGAACACGAGGGTGATAGTCGACAAGGCACCACTGACCCCGTGTGCTCTATCAAACCGTACAGTATCACTGGTCGAATGGATATCAAAGAAGGCCAACCCCATTTGTATTATCTGAAGGACGGACCCAGCAGGTGATTCGTGCGGGAGGAATTACCCATCGTACCTCAAGACACGGTGTTACCGATTACCTGATTAAAAAATTGACATAAATACATAAAAGAAAATATGGGGGACATCGAACGATGGTCGACGCCGGTTTCGCTAGTTTTCGACCAGCTGTTGTCATCATTGATTTGCAGGCATTCATTCATCTAATTTTCAACTGAATGCTTTTCTGACATTTTGTGCCCTATGGAAACTCAATAGGCAGATGTTGGAGACTGGTTGTCACCTGTCTTTGAGGATGTATGTTGCACTAAAGTTCATAATGTGACCCTGCTAATTTACGCGTCACCCTTCGGGCAGAGTGTTTTTATATCAACAGGTGCTTTCTGTGCCAAGATATGAACATGTGTAATTTGTATTAGATTGTGTAGAATTTTCCACTAATCATCAAAACGGCTAAACGGAAAATTCAATAAATTCGAGGATTAAACTAATGTCCCGATACGGCAAAGGTCACTGTTGAAATGTTCGTGCTTCAACCACTAGTTTGTTCTGTCACTAGATATATACGGCGTCTGCCGTGATCTAACCTTGACATTGACTGAATCCTTCCCGCTCTTGCGCACCCTTTCTGCTGTATCTCTTGACAGCGAGGATCGTAGCTCATTGGTAAATAGGCCATGAGCCATGAGCTGAAAATTGACATATTGGTACCACTCAGAGGGACCAAAAGTTTTAGTGTGTTTTACATTCCTTTATGTCTCTACATATAAAAAATGTATGATGGCCATGTCAGTTTGGTAGCTAAAACTCAGAACGAGGCTAAATCCAAGAAATTTAAAAAAATGTCAATTCCAAACTCTAATCGTGAGTAAAGTTCAACAAATAGGTTGGAAATGAAAAAAGGCGATCAAATAGTGCAAACATGATTAAAAAGATTTAATTAATATCAAGTTGTGTTATTTGATACCTTTAAATCATTTTTCCTGGTTTTGTAAGAGTCCAAATTGTGAGTTCAAAGAATTTTTTCGAAAACTCATCATTTCACTTATTCTGAAGACAGCTCTTTAATTTCAATGAGTGAGAGCACTGGACTCATACAAAATCAGGCACAAATATGAATTAAAGGTATCAAATAACACAACTTGATATGAATTAAATCTTTTTAATCATGTTAGCACTATTTTACCTACTTTTTTTCATTTCCAACCTATTTGTTGGACTTTACTCACGATTAAAGTTTTGAATTGACTTTTTTTCTTTTTCCTTTTTTTTGCGGCCATCTTGGATTTAGCCTCGTTGTGAGTTTGAGCTACCAAACCGACAGGGCCATCATACATTTCTGATATGTAGAGACCGTAACAACTTTAAAAAACATAAAAGTGTTTGGTCTCTCTGAGTGGTGCCGAAAAATTGTCTAGCTCATGACCTAAATGTTTGGTGGCCCTTGATCGGGTAAAATGCAGGGAGCAAATGATTTTGTTGCAACATTGCTCACTTTGACCACAAAGTCAGATTATCAAATATAAATAATCCAATAAACTCGGACATCCGTATTCTCATAAAATGACTGTTTTCGAGTTACAGGATAAATTATCGAATGACTTGTCAGGGAAATTTTAACTTTTTTCCACGGTTAAAGATAAACGCATTACCGCTGTTAAAGATAAACACATTACATATCGGTTGGTTGGTTTGTTGTTTAACGCCGCACTCAGCAATATTCCAGCTGTATGACGGCGGTCTGTGAATAATCGAGTCTGGACCAGACATTCCAGTGATCAACTTATAAGCATCGTTTTACCATTACAACTCAAAAGGATTTAGAAAGTGGTCGAACTGAACTGAATTGTCCTACCATGACGTAGCATCTTCAAGGTAGCTGTTGTCAAGGAGGCATGATGTGGATGATTTCAACGTTTCCTATGGCAACCAGAATACAGACGGCGCTTTAATGAGTAAGGGAGAATTGCAACCTAAAGTGAGTGACCCCTACAATGTATAATTTTTCATAAAATTTATCGTCTTCTGCTTTTTCTTTTTTCATTTGGAATAACAATGTATGAAGCCAATTTCTGATGTCCGTGTCTTGTGTCATGATATTGTTTGAACATTGCTAAAAGAGGCGTAAAACCATCCTCATTCGATGGCTCTTTTTGAATGAACTACCTGCTCATTTAAAATTTTAGTACCATCTTGAAAAATATCTGAAAAATACAGCTGGATAAAAAATGTCACACTACTTAGCAAATGAGATCTGTCCACTTGTTCCCCGATAATGCGCCGTGCACTATTTTTGATTTACAAACATGCACCAAAACATTTTGAAATTAGTAAAGAAAGCGCATCGACGAAATTCTGACTAAAGTATTTTATTAGAAGCTTCTTAAAATGCCAAATGACTTAAAGGTCTTCTTTTGGTATATGTGTCAATTTTGTTGAAAATCTAGGCTTCTATTGATGCGACAATATCATCTGAATATTCGAGGGGTGGTTGGGTTTGGGCAGTTAGTGGGGACAGGTGGAGGAGATGCAGCGTTTGGGCAGTTGGTGGGGACAGGTGGAGGGGCTGTAGAGGGTGGGCAGCTGGTGGGGACAGGTGTAGGGGTGCGCAGTTGGTGGGGACAGGTGGAGGGATGCAGGGTTTGGGCAGTTGGTGGGGACAGGTGGAGGATGCAGCGTTTGGGCAGTTAGTGGGGACAGGTGGAGGGGCTGTAGGGGTGGGCAGTTGGTGGGGACAGGTGTAGGGGTGGGCAGTTGGTGGGGACAGGTGGAGGGGATGCAGGGTTTGGGCAGTTGGTGGGGACAGGTGGAGGGATGCAGCGTTTGGGCAGTTAGTGTGGGGACAGGTGGAGGGGCTGTAGGGGTGGGCAGTTGATGGGGACAGGTGTAGGGGTGGGCAGTAGGTGGGGACAGGTGGAGGGATGCAGGGTTTGGGCAGTTGGTGGGTACAGGTGGAGGGATGCAGCGTTTGGGCAGTTGGTGGGGACAGGTGGATGGGCTGTAGGGGGTGGACTGTTGGTGGGGACAGGTGGAGGGGATGCAGGGTTTGGGTAGTTGGTGGGGACAGGTGGAGGGAATGCAGGGTTTGGGCAGTTGGTGGGGACAGGTGGAGGGGATGCAGGGTTTGGGCAGTTGGTGGGGACAGGTGGAGGGGATGCAGGGTTTGGGGCAGTTGGTGGGTACAGGTGGAGGGATGCAGCGTTTTGGCAGTTGGTGGGGACAGGTGGAGGGGCTGTAGGTGGGGACAGGTGGAGGGGATGCAGGGTTTGGGTAGTTGGTGGGGACAGGTGGAGGGAATGCAGGGTTTGGGCAGTTGGTGGGGACAGGTGGAGGAGCGGTTGGGTTGGGCAGTTAAAAGAAATATCCACAATTAAAGTCCGCGTTTGTAGCAGCAACCATTAACACGAAAGCTTATAGCAAGATATGGATAGGGCAGAATTTTTATTTTTTGTTTTTTCATCGCCCGACCGACAATGATTTTATTGCCGACCAAAAATTACAAAAAAACTTTTGTTTTCATTCCAACATTGGATTCCATCAATAGACGTTTGATGCATAAACTTTGGACTGGCAATGTCAAAGGCAATTTGTTTTAGATTCATTAGAAATATGTACACAGATGTTCAATCATGTATATCATTGCAAAGTGGCTACACACAACTGTTTGACTGTATGAGCGGAATAAAACAGGGTTGCGTACAAACACAACTGCTATTTTCATTGTATGTTAATGATATTACATATTATTTACAAAAATATTGAATGATCTATCAATATATTCTAAAAAGTGGTCTTTAACCGTCAATATTAGTAAAACTAAATGCATAGTTTTCAGGGAAGATGGTAGATTAAAGAAATACGGAAAACATGATTTTAATGATACCCAACTAGAAATTGTGTCTTCCTACAGAATATTTGAGTGTTCATTTAAGATATCTAAGGTGAGTTTATCTTTAATTTTTTTTTACCTTCCCAAGTCGCTGCCACAAGTTTGAAGTCCAGAGAACGCGAGAAATTTAATAACAAGTACAACAAATGAGAACCAAGAGCACTATTAAGAAAACTTTGTCTATATTATGTTTTTTTTTTTTTAAGTATTTTTTTCCCGACCGACCCATGTTCCGAATTTGGTGGCTACGTTAAACACCTAAAAAGGGTGCCCATACACGTTGAAGTCAGAGCTGATAATGCTTGCTAAGACAGACTAGACATGCCCAGTAGACCATGTAGACAATGTCCTTAAAGAACATGGTCATAGTGTCCTCCCACCGGCCACTGTCATCCTGACACTGGCTGCAACCCTATTGAATTAATTAGGGACTAGCGTACACAGTTGGGTTGCCAGTCAAAACGTATTTAAGATAACGACATTCCAGCAACTAAGTGAAAAGGCTTTTGCTGCTGTTGGGGAAAACGAGTGGTCAGAGCTGACATGTTCGCGAGTTCTGGCAGAGGGAGCAAGCATTAGAGGAGGAGACAAAAAAGATAATAGTTCTTCTGCTGGGCTGATGTTGATTCTGACAATCGTGTATTTCAAATGTAGTTTTAGTTGGTTCCTTTGTTCTCAGTTTACTTGACACATCTAGTGGCCAACACTTGTTTTCTATATTGGATATCACTCGATTTCTCATTGGCCTGAAAACCTATATCAGCCAAACGCTCAAAAAATTCCATATTCATATTTAACTATGTCAAGCAGTGCAGAGCGCGCACGCACGCACGCACGCACACACACACACATTCGTCTTTACTGCTAATATATTTATTAGGGACATGTCCCTGCTGTTGTACTGTAGCGGTCTACTTTCTGTAAACATGTCCCTGCTGTTGTACTGTAGCGGTCTAGTTACTGTAAACACGTCTCTGCTGTTGTACTGTAGCGGTCTAGTTTCTGTAAACACGTCCCTGCTGTTGTACTGTAGCGGTCTAGTTCCTGTCAATATGTCCCTGCTGTTGTACACTAGCAGTCTAGTTACTGTAACTACGTCCCTGCTGTTGTACTGTAGGTGTCTAGTTTCTGTAAACCTGTCCCTGCTGTTGTACTGTATCGGTCTAGTTACTGTAAACACGTCTCTGCTGTTGAACTGTATCGGTCTAGTTTCTGTAAACATGTCCCTTTTGTTGTACTGTAGCAGTCTAGTTTCTGTAAACACGTCCCTGCTGTTGTACTGTAGCAGTCTAGTTTCTGTAAACACGCCCCTGCTGTTGTACTGTAGCGGTCTAGTTTCTGTAAACCTGTCCCTGCTGCTGTACTGTAGCGGTCTAGTTACTGTAAACACGTCTCTGCTGTTGTACTGTATCGGTCTAGTTTCTGTAAACACGTCCCTGCTGTTGTACTGTATCGGTCTAGTTTCTGTAAGCACGTCTCTGTTAATGTACTGTAGCGGTCTAGTTTCTGTAAACACGTCCCTGCTGTTGTACTGTAGCGGTCTAGTTTCTGTAAACACGTCTCTGTTGTTGTACTGTATCGGTCTAGTTACTGTAAACACGTCTCTGCTGTTGTACTGTATCGGTCTAGTTTCTGTAAACATGTCCCTGCTGTTGTACTGTAGCAGTCTAGTTTCTGTACACACGTCCCTGCTGTTGTACTGTATCAGTCTAGTTTCTGTAACCACGTCCCTGCTGTTGTACTGTAGCAGTCTAGTTACTGTAAACACGTCTCTGTTGTTGTACTGTATCGGTCTAGTTACTGTAAACACGCCCCTGCTGTTGTACTGTAGCGGTCTAGTTTCTGTAAACCTGTCCCTGCTGTTGGCGCACCTGTCCCTGCTGTTGTACTGTATCGGTCTAGTTACTGTAAACACGTCTCTGCTGTTGTACTGTATCGGTCTAGTTTCTGTAAACATGTCCCTGCTGTTGTACTGTAGCGGTCTAGTTTCTGTAAACACGTCCCTGCTGTTGTACTGTAGCGGTCTAGTTTCTGTAAACACGTCCCTGCTGTTGTACTGTAGCGGTCTAGTTTCTGTAAACACGTCCCTGCTGTTGTACTGTAGCGGTCTAGTTTCTGTAAACACGTCCCTGCTGTTGTACTGTAGCAGTCTAGTTTCTGTAAACATGTCCCTGCTGTTGTACTGTAGCAGTCTACTTTCTGTACACACGTCCCTGCTGTTGTACTGTAGCGGTCTAGTTTCTGTAAACATGTCCCTGCTGTTGTACTGTATCGGTCTAGTTTCTGTAAACATGTCCCTGCTGTTGTACTGTATCGGTCTAGTTTCTGTAAACACGTCCCTGCTGTTGTACTGTAGCGGTCTAGTTTCTGTAAACACGTCCCTGCTGTTGTACTGTAGCGGTCTAGTTACTGTAAACACGTGCCTGCTGTTGTACTGTAGCGGTCTACTTTCTGTAAACCTGTCCCTGCTGTTGTACTGTAGCAGTCTACTTTCTGTACACACGTCCCTGCTGTTGTACTGTAGCGGTCTACTTTCTGTATACCTGTCCCTGCTGTTGTACTGTAGCAGTCTAGTTTCTGTAAACATGTACCTCCTGTTGTACTGTAGCAGTCACCTACCATCCACGTGGCCTTGCTGTTATATAGTAGCGGTCTGCTTTCGTTCTATAGTTTGCAGCTGTCGATCCACATTTCTGTACTGTACTGTACAATTCTCGCCCTGATCAACGTTGAAGAAAGCATTCAAAGGTAACAATAATTACTGAGTCGTCATTTTCTCTTTTTATGTCTGATTACTGTTCAAGCTTATTCACATCTGTCTAAATGAATATTTGAAATTGCGAGCACACATATTTCACATTGAAGAGACAAACAGCCAGTGCGACTTCCAACACAAATATCGAATTCGTCTGGTGTGGTGTGTACAGATCCAGACTTTTCATGCCAAACTAATTTGATTCCTTCCCCCTGTCTAGTAACTCTCCTGCTCTCTTTGATCCTAATAGTGGCGTTGTGTATCGGTTACCGCTCCGTGATACCTCTTGACGTCATTCAACTATGCTTTGATGCAGTTACATCCTTGCTTGGCAAATACATACATCTTCCAAAATTCAGGAACGGCATCGATCGACATCTAATATACAGGCAATTCTTACTGAAAACAAAGTTGTGAACATTTCTAAACTTTTCAACTGTGTACCTCCATGGGAATGGTAAGGTAGAAAATAATCTACCTCTACCCGAAGCTTGGTGTTTCATCTAACTGATGAGGTGGTGGGGTAGCCTTGTGGTTGATGTGTTTTCTGAAGACCCAGGTTCGATTCCCCACATGGGTAAAATGTGTGAAGCCCATTTCTGGTGTCCCCTGCCGTGGTATTACTGGAATATTGCTAACAGCGACGTAAAATTAAACTCATTCACCTCATCCAACTGATAGGAATCGTGTGGATAAAATGTTTGGTGGTGTACGCGCGTGAGACTTTATTCGTTTGCGTGGCAGGGTGTGGTAAAATTATTCACATATGTGCTGTATAGCTTGAATATTGCACATCTCATACATTGTCGTTTCTTCCTGCGTGTCCATCCAAACTCTTCCTATCCGATTTCACTGGACAATCTCTTTCATATTGCCTTGTCTTTGCTTACCAACTAACAAAGAAGGTTCAGTCATGAAAAGCTTTATGTGGTATGCGTCATGCGAGCGCTACGTTTTACTGTAACACCGTTTTTACTGTTCTTCAATACAGCCTTGACATTTATGGGAAACCGCTCTGTAGACGTTAATGAATCGGCATTTAATTATATTGTCATTGGCTTCTGACTTTCTCATTTGTAAATCTTTATGTCGCCGATCGTGTGAATTTAGGTTCGGGACAATGTGTCAAAAATGAAAGCGAATATCATTTGAAGTTAACTGAGAAAACATCTATGAGAAGTTTTGGGGTAAAACATTCCCATGCACTGCAAATGTTCTCCCATCCTTGCGGATCTGTTTCTTTAGCTTCAGGTACAACGATGGTCTAGTATCGTTCAATAACCACGGGGAGCAACTGATAGTGTGAATCGTTCCTCATGTTTTCAAACACGGCTGGCCTTCCGTAGACTCAAATTCTGAATTGCAATCACACTGTACCTTTAATATTGCTAGAACACCTTCACCGATTAAATGTATTATGAGAGATGTTTCCTGCAAACTAGACCACATACGAGTATATCAAGAACGTCCATCATTCTTCTACAACTACCTCCATGGACATGTAAAACTTGGTTCTCCGTACCCCATGTCTGACTCCTGGTTATTCTGAGTGCTTGTCACCTTTTTAAATTATTTTGGTGGTGACTAG